GGCAATCTAAGTGTGACCTTGAAATTGACCTTTGACCTACTTTTTATCATGAAGTTAACTCTGCTAATTTCTTTCTCTTTAACTTCAAACTTGACAGAGATAGGTCCATAGTTACTCTTGAACTTGAATAGGAAGTCATATACTGGCAATTTACTGTGACCTTGAAATTGACCCTTGACCTATCTTGCGAAGAACTTAAATTTGATTGTACCATATATATTTTTTGCAATAGTTTAAAAATTCTTGTTGATTGCATTTTTACAGCTTGTCAAGCACAAAACTGGTGGCTGTGTCCCTTATTTTGTGTATGTGGGGGTCTATACGAATGCGCTTGCTCCAGCTGGTGGCACAATATTCGGAGGCGGTATCGCCTCTCTGATTCTCTAGTTTTTTGTGATTTAAGTATACCTAGTTGTGATTTCAGTAAATTCAGTGCACTGTCTTCAGTACTTTTTTGCTATTTGTGACCTCACACCTTCAGGTTCATATACTTTACCTCAGACACATCAGGTAGAGCCAATGTACAATAAACCTAGCTAGCTACCTAGTAGGAAAAAAAGATTTCCAATCATTCAGTTTTCCCATGTACTAGCTACCAAGGAGGTTATAACTCCTTGGTACTACATAAATAGAACTGTTATATGTGTTTTTATATAACTACAGTAGTTCATGATCAAGGTAAGTTCATATCATTATCAAACAAGTTATTACGTTATCACTGACATTTACGTGTTTTTGTGGAAAAGGGCAGTGATCATTTGCAACGTAGTTTGGTTAAACGAAACATGAGCTTATCTTGGCATATTTTATCCAATGGACTTCAAGAAATATATTTTGCCCTATCCTCGAAATATGGCGAACAGCATGGCGCTAAATTCAGGTAAAGTTTGTGAAAGTTACGACAAATCGTGCATCAGTGATTTAGTTGATTATCAATTGATGATGTGTTTTTGTACTATGAGTGAACGCGCAATACGACCAAGCCAAGACATATAGACAATCGGCATCGGCCTAAGTGAAAAAACATTTATAAGATAATGTGCTCGCAGTTTCATTTCAATTTCCACATTGTTGACGCCGGTGAAATAACAAATATGACGCTCCGCTTTTAACCTAAATATAGGAAATTTGACATGAAATTTAGCATTTTCTAAATATTTATATAAGGATGAAGATTAATATAATTAACAAGATTTGCAGTATTTTTAGTTTTTGTGTTGTCTATTTCCAAATAGTTGGCTCAATTTCCTCATTCCACATCGGTGGTCCATATGATTAAGGTCGCGCGGCCCGTCTTGAGTGCCCCTGACTTCTAACGTTATTTAAGTTTTTAAAAGACTATATATGTTCACTGCTGTGCCCGAGTCTGAAAGATATAGATAAAGTAATAATGTGAAATAATTTCTGCTCCTGTGACAGCTCTATTTCAGAAGTTCTTTTCCCCCTTATCTCTCAACTTCATATATATATATATCATTTTGCTATAAAAAGTGTACTAGTAGGGATTTTGTTGAGATAAATTTTGAGAAAATGTTTTTACAGATCATGATATTGCTTGGCTAATCTGCCTTCTGGTATCCATTAATCTCACTAGATTTACTGTCATTGTGTGCATGGTTTTCACTTACTAGAAATGTTATTATTAAAGAATTCTGCTCTGACTATAACATGCTCAGTAGGGGGAAAACCCAGGCTATCTCACATTCCAGTCAATCAATTCTGGATATTTAATGTATTACACAGAACTTAATAAAGATCAGTATTTACAAACAAGATTAGATTAAAAAACAATAATAAAAATCTTTCAAATAATTTTTTATGAAAGTCCCTAACATAAAGTTTTATAGAGTATTATATATATGTTTTATTTCAGGTGCCAGTGTCTGGGTGCCATACAAAGAACTTTACACGCTGGTACATACTGCCATAACACGCAAGCAATCTGATGCCATCCATGATTTGGAAGTTGCACTCAGGAGACATAAACCAAACTTTATAAACCTCTTGCAGAGCTCAGTAAGTATTGCAGTATGTATAATTAATATCTGATGGTATTGTGATTTTGAAAATTGTTTTTATTTGTCATATTCATTTTATGTTTCTATGAAGGACTGAAACACCAGTAAAAGAAAGGATCCTTGAGTACATCATCATTGGTTTTCTTTAATGAATTTTAAACCAAACTTTAATTATTTGATGAAAGTATCTGTGGTTGCAGTTGTCATTGTGCACTATAAGAATATTGCACACATGCCTGTGGAATCATTCATATGAGTAACAGTTTTGTATATTTTCATTACATTTCATTTCATTTCATCAAAACTTTTTATGATGTAACTTAGTAAGGTTTTTTTCTTACCATGTTCTCAGGCAAAGGACAGCGCACAGCGAGAGACTGTGAAGAAGGCCACAACTGAGGGTATCACTATACAGGGCCAGCAGGGAACACAGACACTGTCTCAACAGTTCATAGATGAAGCCATCATTCTTAGCGATCTTTTTAACCTCAATGAATATGCAGCAGTAGAACTGCTAATGGCTGGTAAGAAACATGGTCAGATCTAAATTTTGTGTGAAAATATATAGTTTGTGAGATATGTGTGAAGTTATAACAGTTTTTTTATTGATCCCATTTGTATTATACTGTGATCAAGTTATGAGTATTAGACAGCTAAAGTGACTTTATCACACATGCACACATGCACACATGCACGCACACACACATTTAGAATATGTGATAAATTTTTTGATGTGATGATACAAAGTATGACGTATTCTTTATCTTAGGGCAGGGATTTTTGTCACAATCATTCCTACACCTCCAAGTTAGCATGCCTATTATTACAGCACATTTTCCTCATTTGAAACCCTTTGATTTATCAAGGTGAAAATCAGCTGCCCAACTTTCCTGGTCTCACTCGTGGACTTGTTGCTGTCATTTTGTATTATGATGGCCGGCGTAACATGGTCAGCTGTCTGAGGACACTTATTCAGGCCAGGACAGGCAGGACATGGACCCTGGACTTGCCCACAGATTTAGAAAACCTGGTCATGAAGTTCACAGACCAAATAATGGAAGAAGGACTGACCAACAAAATTTTGAGTATGTATCGATTATGGGTATTATTTTTTTCTGTGCCAAAGATAGCCTATATCATAATAATAGTAAGGTCTTAAAATAGAACATATTTTGTAGAAGTTGTGACTTGTCGAAAGTAAACAAATGTCATTTATGCAAATATAAAAAGGTGATGTTAATTCTGTTTGATTTTTAAAGCAGAATTTTTGATCCTTGCTGTTGCCTTTGATTCCATTGTTTGTAGTTTGTTATAAAGAGAATAAAGTGTTATCATTTATATGTAATGGTTTTAGGTCTTATCACCGAGATGGATATAACAAAAGAGATGGACAAATTACAAAGAGAAAGAGCACTGGGAAATGCCAAGCACAAAAAACAGGTTAAAATTCCAGAAAGAAAGCTTGATTTTACATTAACATTTCTGTCATTTTTCAGAGAAAGACTTTCGCATGTTAGTTTTACATGTTTCTAATTAAGTGCAGAACATTAAAAAAAATAGCCAAACCATAAATACTTAAATCAGGACATGCAAAGCAAACATGTGGTAAGCATCTAGTTTTAACTTTGATGAATATTTCATTATCTAGGTGACAGATCTGTATAAAGAAACCCAGTTGCTGTTGGCTGAATGTTTGTATTGCTGGGCAGGACAAGCACCACTACCAAAACAAGACACCTCTCAGCTTCTGGACCACTTGAAGAGAGATAACAGGACAAATCCAGATGGTACAATTGACAGTGTTACCATGGCATTGTTAATGGCACTGTTGTACTGCATTGATGTCAGTGTATTAGATAGAGAGAATTCTGAAGGTGAGTTTTTAACTAATACAGAGGCATTTGTACTTTATGATTGGTATAACTAACATGGTTGGGATGTTGGAATTATCCTGTGATGTGAGATGTTTAAATCCACATTTAAAAAAACACCACATTGAAAACTGTCGAATGAGAATTGTTTGACAGGAATATAACACCGTCATTAGAATGTTTTTCAAGGTCTGGTTATTTGATTATATATATTTTTTGTACAGTTTTGGACAGATTGTGATATGGTATTATTATAAAGCAAAAGTAAATTGTTAATATAAGCTTAAGATATTGTTCGTAGCCTAAAGCATTATGTTTTATGAGGAAAATTTTACTCTAGTTTGATTCCCAAAATATATTTGATCATTTGTGTGAACATCCACATTTTTTTTCATGAACAAAAGTAAAAAAAAAATCCAAATATTAAATCACCCTATTGATTATTTTCCAGATGTGTCTTCAGAGCTCCCAGTGTTCACTGATGATACATATGTGACCACTTTACACCAGGACATAATGTCTGATCAGGCGTGGGAGAATCCTGGTCTAAAGGCTGTGGTCCAGTTTGCCTGGGCACAAACACTGAGAAAACTCTCACAGCAGACCAATGGACAAGGTAGTGCTGATAACCACCTGATGTGGTTGATGATACTTGTCCTTTGTTTGTGCGTATGATCTAGAAAAAGATAATAGTTAAACTTCAGAGTCAAGAAGCAAAGGTTTCTTTGTGTGTATTGATTTCTTTTCGTTAATTTACTTCCTGGGTGGGTATTTATATAGGAAAAAAAAGACTACATTCCTATATGTTTAGTCTCATGTATCTAGAGTGAGGTATATAATTGTGATTTTTGAACAAGTGCATTGTATAGTGTATAAATATAAGTATAATAATTTCAGCAATTTATTTGAGTAAACATGTTACAGAATTCCTCTCTTCAATAATTGCAATGGTGGCAATTATAATTTTTCCTGTATTTCAGCTTGGAGTGAGTGTTGTGAAAATGATGAATATGTAGTTGACATGGCTGTGGACAACAATGTTTTCTTTTTCCTTTGTGACTCTGTCATTGGATCAGCTAACTTTCACAGTGAGGTAGGTGTTTAAATGAGTTACACCATATGTTGAAGTCAATAGGACTACCTTGAAAGTTTGACAAATTGCAGTTGTAGATAATTGTTCGACATTGTCTCATGCATGTATGACAGCATTGCCTCATACCTGTATGATGGTGAGTATTGCCACATATATGTTTGACAAATATCAATTTGAAAGTGATTATTGATTAACCTTAAGAATTTAATTGATTTGATATAATAGTTATGTGCAGTTTTTTGTTTTTATATTCAAAGATGTGGTTAAACCAATATATCTCAAAGTGAATTCAAAAACAGTATAAATGTTGCTACACTGGATGGTTAAAATTACTACCCACATCTTTGGTCAGGAGTTTTACTTGCGGAGAATCCACGGCCTGGTCACAGACTTTATTATCCAGATGCCATTGAAGGTGAAGGAGTTGCGAAATCGTGGAGATGAAACTGCACGTATTATCATGGCCCATGTTCTTGAAGGCGTGGAACCTCCATCTGGAATAAAGAGGGATTTTGAACATCTCATGCGATTGGTGAGCTTCAGCCTTAGGGATTTGGTTTTGTTGTGATTATTAATTACATTCCTACGTATGTTGGTTTGTTGATATTTTCTATTACCTAGTTAAATGAATGCATAGCTTTGGTTGTCATATATGAACCATCATTTTTCTTTAATGTAGTTGTTTATTCATCTTAAACCAAGAAAGACCAGGGTTAAAACCTCAATGTCTGTTAGATTGCAGACCTGTATGTGAAGGACCCCCTGAACCTAGAGCTGGCTCTAGAATACTGGTGCCCACCAGAGCCAGTCCAGACAGGTGCTAGCTTCTCCAGTGTATATCACTACCGTCCTCCACAGAGACAAGTAAGTTAATAATAATAATAATAATAATAATAACTATATTCAGCCATTGCATATATATATTTTAAAACACATAAAAGGGCAATTGTTTTACCATTGTTGCAGATGAGATGAATAAATGTAGGACAAGAAAAATAAAAATAAATAGAGGCTTTGAAAAGATAACATCAAGAACAAAATATTTTCCTTTTTTATAGTCTCATGATAATGCTTTGCTTTCAGTAATGAATGTGCAGTAGTTAATGTGCTTTATTGTAAATGCAAGTTAAGATGGTGCATGTATTTTATTACTTATCAACTTGGCTGATTTAATATTGTTATTATTCTGCTTTCTCTGAATAATTCAGTTACAGTAGTTTATAAATGTGATATATTTTTGCCACTGAAATATTTTTTAGATCAGCCTATTCAAGTTTGTTCGTCTAGCTGGTGATCTCCTCCCTGCCTCTCTGTATATCCCTTACATAAATATGTTGACTGGACTGGCCAATGGACCCCAGTGTGCTCACCACTGCTTCAATCTCCTCAAAAGCAATGCTATGGGAGGTGAGCACTGGTCACAACTACCACAATTTTTACACCCAACACAATGCATTCACCTGAGTCAGTAATTAATCACATGCTGCCATATAGGGAAAGTCAATAGGGAAAGTCACAACTCACATCAACCACATTAAAATTCAGTGAAAGTTGTGAATAATAAGATAACAATATCATATTTTACGCTACATGGTTCCCCAAGTTACAGTATCCAGATTCAGGTTACCAACATTTTACTAGCACACACTGACCTGCAAGATTTTTTTCGTATTTCTCCAGGCGGCCATGCCAGCACTGTATCATGGGACCATTTTTTCCTGTCACTGAACCAATATTACAGCAGCCTACGCCAGGAGGTGGTGACATCTGTAGAAACGTCACATATTCCCAAGCCTATACCCAGGAACATTACACAGCAAGAACTGGAAGGACTAATAGCAGTACTGCAGCTTACTAGACAAGTAGCAGACCAGGTTTGTATTGGATGGGTCTAAATTGGTTGTTTGTATTAGTTTTCTTCTTTACATGAACTAACCAACTAAGATTTTACAGGAGGTTTGTACAAATAAAACTGTCATAACAATACACAACAAATCTTGAAATGAAAAAAGGAGAAAATCTGTATTCAAAATCCCAATTCAGTTTTTTTTTAATGGAATTAAGTTGGATGTTCAAATGTTGATTCAATCACAGAACTAGACTTCCTGTGTGTGTATGTATTGAAGGAAATCACACTATGATGAGTAACTGTATCTAAATCCCCTTGCTATATTTCAGGATGAAAGTTCCAGAGTCTCCCTGGTGGAGAACCCACAGTGGCTGCCAGTGGTGATAATGTTTGGATTGGTTGGCTGTGCCATCCCTCCCACTCTGAAGGCTGAACTCCTCCTCACTCTCTCAGCATTTGGTAAAACAGCAGAAATTGCAGCCAGTCTGTGGCAGTCCTTAGAGGTTTCACAGGTAGACATTAATTTTAGACCATAACAGGGTCTTCTATGTGGCTATCAAAGAAGTATGCTTTAGCCTGTTTGTTATAGCACACTCCATAAGAAACCCATCTTGATGCATTTCATGTGGCATATAGACTGTTTGCCGTGCCATGTTAAGTTATTGGTATACAATGTCTCGGAGTGTTTTTAAAATCAGTATTAGTATATATGTATTGGTACATATTAATATGTTATTTCCAGATATTACCTACTCATGGTCAGCCAGGAGGGTTAAAGGTGTGTATTTAACTTGTATAGCATTGTTATTCTATGCAAATTAGTGAATGGTAGCAGAAGTTGTAACAGTAAAAAGGTAATCATGGATTGTTTTGAATGCATTTTATAACTATATTAATCACCAGTGGATGGTGTTAGAAAATCATCAGCCACAATACTCAGACAACACACAAGCTTATCATTATCAACATCATTCACACCTCTTTATCAATGGCCCAGGTTGAGCTGGATGAAGTAGAGTCCAGGAATGAAGAGTTCCCCATGGTACGTGCCTTCCTTGACCTGCTGGGTACCCTGACAGATATCCCAGTACCTGCAGGACTGGGGGCAGGCTACAGGGCTCCAGGCTTTGAACCGTACCTGGAATTCGTAAGGGATGATGTGTTTCATAAATTTACTACCAGAGCATATAGGAATGCTGGAGAGAAGGTAAGTTGATGTGGAGGATTGTGGGTTGAACTTAAATGTTATATGATACACTGCCTAAGTGACTTTGACAATAAATGGTCATAAACATACATGACAAGACCTGGAATAATTATATGTTATTTAATATTTGATATTAAATATGTACTCTTTGCATGTGATGTATATAATGAATGAAAAACTGGGCAGGTGTATTTTCATTGCTTTAAATAGTGTTGAATCCATTGATGTCTCTGCTTACCTCATATAACACTGTTGAATATGAAACACTTCAGTGGGATGTATCAGCAGCCACCCTTGAAGTCCTTTACAAACTTCTGAAGGACCATGAGGTCAGAGCTGACCACTTCCTTGACCACCATGTGGAGGTTCAGGGTGGAGGAACAGTGCCTGCAGCCAAGCCTCCAGGACACAGCCTGCTAGTGCACATGCTGAATGATGGGGCTTTTCTAAGAATGGTACAACTGTCTTTATTAAATTATTTACTCCTATGATGTAGCATTTCCCCCCCCCCCCCCCATTATGTCTTTGGCTGCATTTTTATTTTCTTTTTCAATAAAAAAGAGAAAATTATAGATTACACCTCAGCTGACTTTTTTCTCATCAGAATAAGTTGGAATAAAAGTGGCAGAGAGCTATAAACCCTGAAAAGACATTACAGAGGGGAAAATATTACAACGCATTCTTTTTAATTAGTGTAAATAACTAATTTCACTGAATCACTGTAAAAAACCTTACCATTAAGCAAGAATTTGTGCTACTCTGCCCCAGGTATTGTAAATTCACATATGTTTTTTTTCTTCAGATATTGTACATCACAGATGAAGCCAACAGGTTACTTGGAATGTACACCCCATTCCCAGGTAGTGTAATAGCAACTAGAGAGAATTATTACAGTGAAAGATTTTAGAGATGTTTTCAAGCAGACATTCCTGCAATTTAATAACACTTACCTAAATTTTATGATATAAATTAACTTTTTACTTCATTATAAGACAAATAATTTGCAATTTCAGTCCAAAAAATCATTTTCATCTTTTAATGACATTGTACACAAGCTATGATTAAAGGCATATTTTTTATCTTTAAGGTAAAGAGAGTCTAGAGAGAACTGCATTGTTGTGCCTCAAAATGATGGAGTCCACCCTGGAGAAGCAGTCCCAGTTCTTTGATGTCCTGAGGGACAGTGGTACCTCCCTGATTGTGTCTCCATTAGATAAGTTACTGATGGGAATCAACCCAAGGAGTGGTGTGGCTGACCATCTGGTCAATGTTACCAAGTAAGATATGGTATATTAAGTGAAGCTATAGTAGATATGTTTTGGTATACCAGTATCAGATAATAGACTTTTTTTTAATACAAGGCGAAGCTAACCGTTTGTATGCTTTTTTAGTGCAATTATGATGCTTAAGTCATGTGGTCTATGCCAAAAATATTACACATTCTGTAGTCAGATTACTTGAACACTTTTCCTCTATAGTTTATAAATAGACCTTTTTTAGACAACAGGGTTCTTTTGAAAGGACCATGTAAATACTTCATTTTTCTAATTAAAAAAATGATGGTAAATGATTTGTTACTTGACTTTATTTTTCAGGTTTGTTACATACAAGAATTTCCTGCCTGAACACTCTCTGTCAGCAGTGAAGATTTTGTGTTGGGTGTGCCAGTCAGCTCTAGTGCAGCCAGAACTTGTGGGCATGTTTACTGCTCAGCAGGTAGGTCTTCCCTTCCCTACCTACTTCTCTCTCTCTCTCTCACCCTCTCTCTCTCTTCTGACCTCTCCTCTCCTCTTATTAGGAATATTGACACTATATTGATGATGCAGTGATGTTTGTTTGTAATTCTTATATTTTTTCAGTCTGTATCCAGAGACCTGCTTCATGGCTTTGTGGAATGCCTAGACTCAGATGATATTGAAGAAAAAGATGAAGGCCAGGAAGAACAAGGTCAGTTCAATAGCAGTTTACAGATATGAATATATTTGTTAAAAATTTCAACAAAAACTGAAGTATTAAAAACATTCCAGTGCAATATGGACTTCTCTAGGATTTCATTTTAAAGCTTAGCTTATTAGTACCACCAGCATGTACGCTGGCAGTACTCATGGTTTTAGTCCTGACCCATCTCTTACAGCTCAGCCGGCTCCTGCGGTTTCTGCGGCTCCGCAGGATGGCGTGGGATACAAGTCACCATTACCGCTTCTCCTCCTAGACCACAAGGACCTGTGTCCTCATCTCTTGGATTTAGGTCACATATAATCTCAACTTGAACCCCCAGGTTTTTTTGTCTCAGTCGGTGCATTGGCCTGGGTGTGACGCTCGTTGAAACGCACCCTTATCAAAATTTTTGAAAATTCAATGCTAAATATCTCCCAAACCGATGGAATTATGGGAAAATTTCTACAGATGGCTGACTGAAAGTCATATGTGAGGATTTCAAATATGCCCTTGGATTTGACCTTCAACCTTTATTTCAAGGTCAAAGGGGCCAAAATTTTCTAAAAATGGGAATTTTTTGAGAAAAAATTTTTATTTCAGCCGATTTTTAGAAACTAAACAGATCTTACCTATAATATTATGGGCAGGTGTTACCCTTAGGGTGATCTTTCATTTTCTTGAGTTTGGGGTCAATCGGTGCATTTTCATGGTAGTAGCGGCCATTAGGTGCCGAAACTGAAAACTCTCTCTAATTCTGGAACCGTTAATGCTAGAGACTTCTTGTTTTTTGTATTTTGTAGATTTTGTCAAGTGCAATACTGGGGGCAGTGTCCATTTTTTTGTTTTCTGTATGGCTTAGGCGTTGCACTATATCAAAAAGTTCAACATCCAATATTCAGTGGTGAAAATAAAATGTGAAATACTCAAAAATAAACAGAGATACGCCCATAGTTACTATTGAACTTGAATGGGAAGTCATATACTGGTAATCTAACTGTGACCTTGAAGTTGACCTCTGACCTAATTTTCACCATGAACTGAACTTTGCAAAATTTCCAGCCCTTATATCTCAAAAAATGGCAGAGATACGTCCATAGTTACTGTTGAACTTGAGTGGGAAGTCATATACTGGCAATCTAACTGTGACTTTGAAATTGACTTTTGACCTACTTTTCACCATGAACTGAACTTTGCAAAATTTTTCTCCCTTATATCTCGAAAACTGGCAGAGTTACGCCCATAGTTACTATTGAACCTAAATAGGAAGTCATATACTGGCAATCTAACTGTGACCTTGAAATTAACCTTTGACCTACTTTTTATGATGAACTGTACTTTGCATGTTGTCTAGCCTTTATATCTCCAAAATTGGCAAAGAAATGCCCATAGTTACTATTGAACTTGAATAGGAAATCATATACTGTGATCTTGAAATTGACCTACTTTTTCACCATGAACTGCACTTTGCATTTTATCTTGCCCCTCATATCTTCAAAACTAGCAGAGATATGCCCAGTGTTGCCTTTTTTTTTTTTTTTTTTTTTTTGCATATTTTGATAATTCTTGTTTATTGCATAGAGCTTGTCAAACACAAGACTGGTTGTGCTGTCCCTTTTCTTTGGGGGGGGGGTTCCATTCGAATGCGCTTACTCCAGCTGGTAGTACAATATCTGGAGGCGGTATCGCCTCTCTGATCCTCTAGTTAAGGACAGTGGTTAATGGTTATTTCAACAACTTGTCTCAACAGAGGATTAGAAATTCAACAAATATGTAAAATGGATTATTTCCTATAGATTTTGAAGAGTTACTTCACCTATAAATTGCTGCCACTAATATCCCCTTTCTCTCTTTTTTTTATCTTTTCTAGATGGTGATCTTTCCAGCTCACAGATAAGAAATGCCATTCGTCAGAATATCCTGAGATTGTTAGTGAATGCCTTAGACCAGCCAGCACCTAATATAACTCACTTTCTCCTGGGCTTTGACCTGAGAAAACAAGTGGCTAAATCTAATTTACAGGATCCTGGTAAGAGGAAGGGTATGATAATAGCTGTGTCATATTTTCTGATAGAAGGCAGTAGTTTTACAACCACAGTGATTACTGAGTTCGTAACTTCAGGTATTTTTCTTGGTGTATTCATGTTACAGATATGATGCTCTCTAATGACAAAATATTTAGTTTTCGTGCAGATATTTGTGCAAAGTATGACCTGAATATTTTGACTTGGACATTCATAATTTGATCTATTTGATAGCAGCTATGCCTGATGCTCATATTTAGAATTTTTTATCATTTTGTAGGTGTGCTTGACTCCCCCAGAACCTGTCTTCACTCAGTCCTGGACTTCTTAGACAAGGGTGTCGGCAGCCGCCAGGGTCCTGCCTGTGTTCAGGAAGCCCCATACCTGGCAGTGCTTGCCTACCAACTGATCTACTGTCTGTGTGCTAACAGGGAGACCTCCAGCCCCACCATGAGGTACCTACGCACCAGCAAGGACTTCCTCTACAGACATGTGCAGCATTTACCCTTCAAGGTGGACACTCAGGGTCAGTGAAGACACCAGTGAGGAACTCACTCCAGTTAACATTTGTATCTTGATGAAATGTAATTGAAAGTATGGTGTCAAGCCAAGAAATCATTATTTTTTAATCATAGTATAATTTAAAATAATTAGTTTCACTGAAGAATGATTTTCACATTTAGTGTTGATTTTAGTGTTGATTTTACACTCTGCTGATTTAAGGTTAACTTACTTTTTTGCTCAATGATATGTTCCTCAAAACGTCATGATTTTTTGCTTAGGTCAATTGGGGGCTGACATGTTAGTGTTAGGACAGTTGTCTTGGTTACTGAAATCTGTGGCCTTGGAGCTGAAGATGACCTCTGCAAACAGACAGAGGTCCAACACACAGAGATTGCTGAATCTTTTATTAGATGATACCCCTGCTGTAACAGGTGTGTGTGTGTGCATGCAAAAAACATGCATGTATAATTACAGTGAAGATTAAAGTGTTGAAAATTATTGATTTTGATAGATTGGATTCAAGTTGTTCTCTTCTAGGGGATTGAAGGTTTCCTTCATTTTATTGATATCTCTTTAAAATCTATACCACTTAACATTGGCGAATTATCAGGCAAAAAACTCCTGCACATGACCAGTTTTTGCAATGTTTAAGATAAGTAAAAAATCTAAAGTGTAAAATATAAATCTTAGAGTACATACAAATACTACAGCAGAATTATCAAGACATTCAATTTCCAGGCTTGCGGACAGATGTTGGCTATGATACTGACTACAGTCAATATGAACTGGACAGGAGTGGACTGAACACCACAGAATGGGGCCAGAACCAGACTTATGTAGGGAGTCAGACTAGAAGAAAAATACTGCAGATATTAGATGTGGTGGATTTCAGTCAGCTCTTCCCAATACCTTTACAATTTGAGTACTTTGATCCAAGTGTTATCGAACAGGTATATATTGTTTGCTTTTTTCTTTCATTTTATTATTTTTTTATTAATTTTACCTTTTTGTCTTAACTTTGACATATTTTCAGAAGATTCTCTGGTAGAAAATTGTGTAAGTTCATTAAAAATGAGAATAATAAAGATTATTTACAGTTTTATGTACTAAAGAATTTCACATGATTTAACTCCTTTGAGTTAAATTGTGGAAAAGATATGTAGATGTAGATATATTTAAACACAGGTAATCAACAGCTGTGAGCAGAAGAATGACCAAGGTTTGATGTACTGTAATGTGAAGATGTTACACCAGATCCTGATAGCTGAAGTGAACAACAACCTGCAGGGACCAGCGGCTGCAGGACAGAGACCTTTAGTACTACAGGTTTGTTGTATTAGGATGCTATTGTTACATCAGCACAAGACATTTTGTGAACTTCCTTCAGTACAGTTGACAGTCTTAACACCCTTGCTAAGCTTATTACAGCTATATTAATTTTTTTTAAGTTGATACAATGAGGGCAGTTGCATTGAATTTGTAACATTTTCATTTTTTGTGTAGTGCATGCATATGTCCATTTAAACCAGTATTTTTGTCTGACTTCAGGAAGTAGAGGCTGTTCTTGCTCACATAGTTCAGAGGAATGCTGTACGGGAATGTTTGCACTCTAAGCGAAGTGCATTTGAAGCTTGGAGACAGGTGGTAGAGGTGATCCTGACAGCCTGTCCTGAGGATCTTCTGCAAGGGGAAGCCAGGCAGACAGTGCTTTTTGAGCTGTTACAGGACCTCTTTCTCAAAGTAAGATCCTACAGAAACATGTAAATATATTTTTCTTAAGAAAAATTTAGCTGTCTTTACACAATTTATGTCATTTTGTTTACAAATTACTTTTATTTAATTATTAAATTATTTGTTCATTTATATTTATTATCTCTAATTTTAATTAAAATTGTTTTTACAATCTAGGTTGCTGTAACTGTACAGTGAAAAGTGTGTCAGTTAGTTTTTAATGCATAATATACCTCCTGCAAGATTTATTATAAAGCATAAACCATTCTCAAATTTTACAGATTTCTGATGAAGATGCTTTCCAAGAACTGACAAATCCAGTAGCAGCTGTCATTCTGACTCTACTGGCCAACCTAAGACACTGTTTTCTTAGTGATCAGAGTGACATGGCTCAGCTTGAGAACCTCTCCCATTATGTCACCATGTTGGATGGGTCCCAGGCTGCTCCTCCTGTCCCACAAGGTGGCAGCACCTTCACCCAGCAAGGAGGAGCCAGAACCCTGTTTGCTTCATCTCTTCAGGCTGTTTTGAAGGGACTAGTAGAACACATACTTAGAACAAGTAAGTTGGAGCAACAGATACCATGTTGATGGAAGTGGTAGTAACTGTGTTCATGCTGGAAAATATTTTTCACTAAGGATCACCTTGCCTCAGATTATTATTATTATTATTATTATTATTATTATTATTATTATTATTATTATTATTATTATTATTATTTTGTTATTTATTTATTTTTTGGTATTTGCTATTTAGTTGTTTTAAAGTTATTAGGAACTGATAGAGGTCGTGTTTACGGAATGATAATAGTAAACAGCAAATTGATTTTTAAAAAGTTGAAAATTTTATAATAGTAATATAATTTTTCTGATATTGATATTACCTAAAATTTTAATGCATTTTGAATATCTTTTATATTTCATTTCAGGTTCTGGCTCTCAGCGAGTGCGTTCCAACCTGTATGGTGCTTTGCTGTACTATTTGCAAATAGCACAGAAGCCTAAACCACTGGCAACTCTGGAAACTGGTAAGACATTTTTGCATCTTGTTTTTTGTGTGTGCCTAATGTTTAAATACATCTTTTAACTCCATAGCAACATTCATTCAACAGCATTCATAGAAATATGTGATTTAATTTAAATCTGTGAGAATCCTGATTCAGTCGGCTCAGATGTCTTTTCTCTTTGTGAAGTGATGCTACAAAGGCTAATCTTTTTTGTATGATGTGCTATTGATAGTGCTACACAGCTGCTAGTTTTCTCTCATACCCATACTTTCAGTGACTAAACAAAAAGGTGTTGGTAGCAGCCTGGCATCTAGAGACAGTGAGTATGAGAAGCTGACCAAAGAGAACCTACATACTATTCTCAGCTATGGAGAGAACTTCATGGAAATCATATGTAGAGATGCTTGTGATGGGCATGATGTTGGCAGGGTGGGTGTAAACTTTCCTTGTAATGTTGGCTGTATCGGAGAGTAAAATGGTACTGTCTTTAAATGTTATCTGATTGTTTATGGTGGAAAAGAAGATACTACATTCTTCAGACAAATTTTACATTTTGATTTCCAGTGTAAGATGATCATAGATAATTAATATAGCAAATATTACTTATTAATAATAAAGGTGATATATTTGATAAAACTTAACTGATAAATTGCTGTAAATTGTATAGTTATAGTAATTGGCAAATTATAATTGTATCTTTGAATTGATCAAGTAGCATATTTTTATTTACTTCAGATGCTGTCTCTTGCCTGCATAGATGCAGTGGTGGCAATAGACAGGCAGCAGGCATGGCTGTCCTACATGTCATCAAAAGGTTACGTCCTCCACATAGTAGAGAGCATGGTGGAGAATGATGAGGTGCTGCAGAGCATGCTCAGTCCAAACCCAGAGCCACTTAGAGCATTGTATATTTATGAATCAAAAATGGTTAGTTGTTTAATATTTTCATTAAGAGTTTGGAAAGATTCCTTAGAATTTGTTTATTGTATGGATGGGAGAGAATAAATGAGAAAGCGAAATAAGGAATGTAATAGAATTGATGGTGCATCATGCTTCACAGATATGACTTCCATCAATGCAACATGAGGATTTTTTTTTCTAAAGAGGGAAAGCATAAAGTGTTTTCAAAGTGTGGCCTATTTCACATTTATCAATGATTACTAATCTTGGCCAAAAAGTTGTAGAATATTTGTATTTCTGTTGTGATGAATATTGCCTCAAAAAATTATGCTAATATTTTACTTTGCTCAACCCCAGAATATTGAGTTTTCTATACTGTGAATACACACCCTTAATATTCCATAGCTATTGTTATTTTCAATTCATTTTAGGGGTTGCTCACAAGATTAGCTGAATCTGCCACTGGAGCTCAGACTTTGTTACAGTGTGGAATCATGAGCAGGCTGGCAGAGTGCAATTTCTTTGATCTAAGACCAGAGATGGAAGGGTAAGGGAATGTTGTTATGATACCATACCCTTTTTCTCATTATATTCAACACTGTATATTCAAAATATAAAAAATAAGTAATGCGAGTGTTGTTATCTGTATTACACATGACATTCATGCTGACACATACCCTTCTTTTCCTTGAAGCTAACAAGTCAAATAATTGAATTAAATAATAGTATTATTAAAATCACTTGTAATATATATATTTTTTCTTTGAATTCAGTCCTCCCAGATTTCATCAAGAACAGAGCTTTATCCCCAGCATACTGATGCGATACAGACAACTCTTGCTTCCTGCACTAAAACTTTGCCTGGCAGTCATGACTTCACTAGGGATAGAAAACAAGAAGGCAGCCAACCAAGTGTTGCAGTTTGTTATTGCCCACGCAGATGTCTTCAACACCATCCTTAGAGACAAGCAGTCTGAGCTGAATCTGGCAGCCCTTGAAGAGCTTTCCTTGACATCTGCAGTGATCAGTCGGGCAGCTGCAGAAGGTAGCATGTTTATTTTATTATTATTTTTTTTAATTTGATTTAATTTTAAAGTATGTATTTTTAAAATGGAAGTGTTTAACAATATGATTTGATTGTTCTCATTGAACTGAAAACAAGTAAATTTTGACATATTCATAATAAGATTTATTATAATTATTATTATATTATATATATATATATATATATATATATATATATATATATTTTTTTTTTTTTTTTTTTTTTTTTTTTTTTAAGGGAAATTTTTTTTGGAAGCTTAATTGATTTGTTTTACTTTGACTAGGAGACTTGGAGACTGACTTTATCCAAGGGGATACAACCTTTATAGAGTTCAGGGGTCACTTATCCCGCATACAGCGCCAGCTCATAGCTCTCCTACCAAAGTATTGTCTGACAGAAAGTCTGCAGCGCCAAATACGCAGTCTGGAGCCCCAGGCAATGGAAGATGGACGAGATATGAAGTCAGAGGTGCAGGTGCATCTGCAGGAGATAGCAGCCAATATTGTGGCATTTTGTAGAGCAATCATCTCAAAGTCAGGTAGGGCTTACTTGGAATCCTGAGACAATAGTGTGCATTTTGAACTGGCGCAATTGGAAGGCAAAAAGGAATTATATGGTGTCAGTTTTGGGTGCAATTTTACAGAATATTGAGAACAAAGAATTATACTTACATATATATAGAAAAGAAAATTCAAACCACTGAAGGAATAGTTTGGACCATTTTTAAATTATAAGTATAATTAAGTTATAGGGAGAACATTTATTTTCCAGGGAGTGCACCCCCCTATATCCAAGTTTTGTTTGCTCCAAATTTAATTGAAGCCACTGCCAGGGACACCATGGAAGGTAAGGGTATATAATTTTAACAATATCAATACATTATAAGATTTTTTCACCACAAAGAAACACCAAATGGATGGTAAAGGTGGTTGTAATGTTTAGAATCTAGTTTTTCAGCTTTAGATTTTGTTAATGCAAGGTGTACAATACAACTAGTCTTTTAACTTATTACATAAGACCAAAGCAGAAAATAAAATATAGGAACATTGCCTCTCATTTGAATACAGGAACCAGTTCTTTCCAAAACTCTAGCAGAAGATTCCACACATTGAATTTTTATATTTACCTATTGATATTTATTTTTTTTTTTTTCTTATTTCCAGATCTACACACCAGTGTGATGAGTACATCACGTCCTCCAAACCTTGGTCTTATAGTGTACCAGTTAAGACAGTGTGCCAACAGTTTTATGTCAGTATGGGACACGCATAAACAGTACATGAGAAAACTTGCCAATGTACTGGATCTTGGTGCTGAAGAACTGAAAGAGGTAATTATCCATATTTCTTTTCACTCTTTGTAAAAAAGAGTCTTGTGCAGAAACACCAAGGAGACATTTCAATCTTATCACTTGTCTGTAGTCAAAATGTATTCAATGCATGTTAAAATTTGCATAGGTAGTTACAATGAGCTAAAGATGGGTTTTATCTGTTTTAGCTGTCTGTTGGAATGTCCAGTGAGAGAATATCTACTCAACAAAGACAGCAGCTGGCTAGGAAGAAACTAATGCAGCTTCTTAATTACAAAGCACAGGAATTGCAACACTATTCTTGTATCCTTATCACAGGAGAGCATCAATCTTGGCAAAACTTGTCAGCTTCAGACACACTACTGAGCAATAGGGAGGTTGGGATAGGCAATTTCGATAAAATTTGAGCATCAGTCTTGCGAGATTGGCACAGTGTTTTATGATGATGCATTCAATTGGAGTAAAGTTAATACTAATGAAATTAAAATATTTTTGAATATGTGTAAGATGCTAAAATTTGGAATTTTTATATCTTAGAGAAACTCATGATATTATTGATATCGATATATATGAACCAAATATCCTTGACTTTGTTGTAAGATACCATAGAGAACTGTTTGTTCATCTTGTGGCGCCATCTAGAATATTATCTTGTTCACTGTGTTCCTGCTGACCAGGGCCAGACACTATTCCAGCTACATGCTAAAAAACATGCAATGCGAAGATTACAAGGTAAAAGGTGGCCTGGAGATGTACACTTTTGAGGTCTTCTGTAGTTTTTGCGGCCTATACTTCTAAAAATTTGATCTCTAAGTAAGATGGTTGCAAAATTTGTGATTATATATCTTTTCCTACATTAAATCTTGGAAAAAATGAAAGTCTAATAATAAACATTTTTATACAGAAAAATGAAATGTTGATTGAGAAAAAGCAACCCCAGGCATAAGGTTATATTCTGAAAGGAAAAGTCAAGTTGATGTATCACTTTTAGAATGTTCTCAATTCTAAACAAATAAAGGCTGTTATAAGAATGTATATAAAAGGGCTACATGTCAACAGAAAGAAGAAGCTTGATGTAAATATATATTTTCTTTGCATCATTTCCAGAAAATTCTGTAGCTGGAGAGGACCAAGTTGAGGACTCTTCCCTGGACACCAGTCGTCACTCCGGTGTGAGTCAGGAGGACCTCCAGCACCTCAGGGCTAACGCTGGGGCCTGTATCAATGAGACCTTGTTTAGGAAACTACAAGAAATTGAGCAGGTACAGCAGATTTCCTTAAACTTTTATACCCAACTACCAAAAATGTCAAGCAGAGCTAAATTGTTTTAGTTAACTGCTTTTGCCAAATATTTCTATATTTGTAGAAGTGCAAGTAAAACACGTGCTTTTGCATAAAAGAATAAACTTTTTCCAACTAAAGTAATGTAGACTAGACCTGAAAAGTGTTGACCAAAGCGTTGACTCTCTCTGTCAAATAAAGATATGGGATGTTTCTTCTTTCAGTGTTATGCCAAGTCAAGAACGAGATATGGATTTATTGAAGCACTGATAAGGAGGCTAAAGCGACTACTTAAACTTCATACATCAAGTGAATAGCACCAACAGAGAGTGAATAATTTATCAGAGAGGAATGTATGGCATCACTTCAGACGGGATTGAAAATCATTTTCAACTTATCCAAAGAACAGTATCCAGGGATGGACTTAAAGGCCAACACATAGAACTGATGTATATTTAGCTGAATAATAATAAAATTTATCGAGACTAAATAAAACTAAATAGTCTCAATGGAGCCATTTTTGTAGGGAAAACTGCATGACAGAGATGTTATTGTACTTCAAACTTGTGAAAAATTCTGAAAATGTTAATGAAATTTATGTTTGTATATTTTTCTTATCATGCAGCAATAAATAAGGTGTAAGGACTTGATAATGTTTTTTGTCTACAGAAAAAGACAATATGTACTTTTTGTCCAAATTACACTCTCTTTTCATTTGCCCTAGTTTTATCAAATGTTTAATAACAGTTTCTCAGCTTATAATCTGTGTTTAAAAAAGATGTTAAAAAGAGCCTGCCAAGACTTCTTATCTAACATTGCATGGTAAAATGTGGTATTTAAATTATGAGTCGGTGTAATGAGGGATTTTCAGGTTTTAGCCAAGGAGATGTGAACCACAATGTTTGGTTTCATTTTTACCATGACACACGCACATGGGTTTTGCAGAGGGGGGGTGTCACAAGAAAATTTGCATTCCTTTGCTCGATAAACTACAAAAAAATACTGCAATATGCTTGGAGTTGCCTCGTTTCTTTTGTTATAATGTTTTGTTGGGGATACTACGAAACTAGGGGAGGTCACTTGCCCAACTATTGATTTTTTAAAAGTTTTGGAAGCTCGGTTGCCTCGAAGAGTATGAATATATATGTATTTGGGAGAAGCGGTCATGGAGGCGTATTGCTGAATACAAACCAGTCAGTGCGGAAAGTGGGCCACTCGATTAAATTGTACCGAGTAATCCAGGCGATTGGGAAATGTAAAAAAAAAAGCAATAAAAAGAATACTAATAGAACATACAATAAGTATTGATAATGAAGACTATACTTATAGAAATGAAAACGGAAATTAAAATCTTTAAAGAAATGAAATCCCCCATGAAGTGACGATAAAAGTGAATCTTATCTCTACATGTACATTGTGTGGTTATACTCTCTAAGTTCAAATTAATCGGCGGGGATTCCCCTCACCACCAATATAGAAAACGAAAGAAACGAAATGTCGGGAAATCCCAGTGACAAAATCAAAGTTTCCGAGACGTGAAAGCGAAAGTCACAAGATACTGCAAGCCTTCCGCATTCAGCCGACGCAGATAACACGTCGAAATTGAAAGAGGCAGGATTGTTTTCAGGTGAGTTGATATTAAAAACAACTTTATGTCTTGTAATTTTGGAGATTGTTTCATTCAGTTTGGTCTGCTCTATTTGTTTAATGGTTATGAACTTATCGATCATTTTAGTCCGTCCGCTTCTACAAAACCAAATAACGTGTGTCCAGTTGACGAGGTCTGCAGTTGCACTAAAATTAAGATTTCATAATTTAGCTCAAAGTATTTTCAAAAATCACTACATGTGTGACAATTGACCTATGTCTGGGACGCACTGATAACAATGAGTCCCCGAACTTTTGATATTTGGATCAATACTCCTTGTTTTGATACGAATTAAGTCAGCGGTTTGGGACGTTTGAATTCCCTAATTTTACATTGTTTGACCAATTCAAATTTTGCCCTTTATTAGAACCACGAGCAACTCTGAGAGGTATGAATCTCGGGGTGGGGGTTACGGACCAAGGTCAATTACCGAACAAAAATAAAAGAAGGAAATACATACAATGAACCGTGAACAAATGTATTTGATTATTTTAGGCACCGGCTTTTAGAAACATTTATGCTTTATAAGATTTGTACTTTTTCCAGATAAAATCAAAATACTGTCAATTTTAAAAATAATTATTTCAATAGTTAACAAGAGTCGTATGTTCATTATTATTATTGTCATTTTTAATTTCAGCTTAAGAAATCAAGTATTTGTCTGGTTCTGTCATGGATCAACTACTTTTTTGGGCCCTCTTCTTGAGCGTGATGAGCTCATTCGTCTGTCAAGGCTGTGATCCTAGTGAAATGATCAAACGTCACGAAGGTATGAAGCAGTGCATGTACCTCGACAGTCGAAAAATCCCAACCATCGGCGTCGGGTTTAACCTGCAGGCGACGGGAGCCCGACAAGCTATAGAATCAGTTGGCGCGAGCTATGACCGTATCGTTAACGGGCAGGCCACACCAGTGAGAACTGCTTGCGACTGTTCTCGTGTCGTTTGCCTAAACCAAACACAAGTGAATGGTCTGTTCAAAATTTCATTAAAGAGAGCAATGCAAGATGCCACTGGTGTTATACCCACTTTGCCTAGATTATGTTGCGGGGTGCAAAATGCTTTGGTCGACATGACTTTCAACTTAGGCAAATCCAAGTTGGCCGTTTTCACCGACTTCTTGAAATTTCTTAGAATGGAGAACTGGCAGGTGACAGCAGACGATCTACTATTGACCAAATACTGCAACGACCGAGACACCTCGTCTAGATGTAGGGAACTGGCTGCATACATTCAGAAAGGGTGCCCCTGTTTCGGCAGCTATCCGAAGCAGTGTTCCAGCCAGTCCGCTTGTTGCGGGGCCAATACCAAATGCTGCCAGTACACTCATCATTTCAGCGGCTACATCACAAAGGATTTGACAGAGATCGGCTGCTGTCCATTTTCAGATGGGGTCTGCTGCCCACCCGCTCCCTTTTGCTGCCCCAGCAACTACCCAGTGTGTTGTAAAGACAACAAATCGTGTTGTCCAGCAGCGTATCCAGTTTGTGCAGGAGATTTATGCTACAGAGAGAATGGGACCGAATGGGTTCCAAACAAGGCCAAAGCAGCTGCAAAAAGTTTCAAATCAGAGGCAAATCATGACTAACTGAATAGAAATACAAACTTGTTTATATATACTTGTCTTAGACTGCATTCAGATTCACACACCTGGCTGGGTTGGTCCTTCTTCTTAAAGTGTTATCAGTGGAATCAATTCATTTGGCTGACACACCTCTTCAAGCAGCTAGGGGGTAAGTAACTATCACCTGCTGATTAAGCCGATTCACTTTTGCGAGAATCTCCTGCAGAGTTGGACCAACCCACCTAGCATGGCATTTGAATCTGAATGGGCCCTTAGTGTTTCATCCTGCCTCATTTTAATGCTCAGATAAACTGGTTCAATAGTGATAGAGCCTATACCAAGAAACTGAGAATATTACTTGGCTTGGCTATTTGAAACCTGCTATCGGTCAAAGTAACCTGACTACTAACACACTGCTTTGTGAACAAACAGAATTTAATTTTATTCACCGTTTGCTATATATTACATATGTATAATTGGCTGTTGTCCTACACATAAGAACATTATTCTTACTGCAATGCTGAATAAAACCACAAGAAAATACTTTTCATTAGCTATATACAAAGGTGAATCAGATCTGCAAGGTGTTCATATGTGACAAATGCATTTTAAAATCACAGAAGGATAAATACTTTACCCTGCAAAATACTATAACCACAAATATTTGAAAATTTTATGTGATTACAACATTAAAACAGTAAACAATTATTACAGGGACGATAATACTGCTATGTGAATCAAACAGAAAGAAAAATACATGTAGTTTCATTATGATGTAAAAATTTCCCTTACATTTATACACACAAGCTATGGTAGCTGTATCTGCATTTACAAACATTATGAAAACTTATCTGGCAGTGTAGGTTACCAAATGGAAAAGCTGCTGTAATGGCACATGCTGTGGAAGAGCATGCTTAAAATGTTACAACAAGTAGACATTTTTCAAGACATTTTCTATAGATATTCCTCTTACATTTTAAGATCAGTCTTCTAGCTACATGGTATTATGACCAATATGTTAACATTACTACTGGTCTTCACTGCCAAAAACATTAAAAAATTATGTGAAGGTGCATTTTTACAAATAATTTGTCCATGGTATTATAAGCAGAGTATAAAATTATAAATAACATTGAAACTCGTTGTTTTAAAAATAACAGCTACAAGGATTGATAAAAATTGTCCACAGTGCTGATACCATATGAGAGCCCCATAAAGCTCAGCATATCAAGTGCCTGTATATGTAATCTCATCTATCTTTAACCATATTTTCTGTAATAAACTAATATCATATTTTGATCATAAGACATCAAATAGTCTGTGCTCTGATGTACTTTGTACTATCATTCTGCACATAAATGTAAGTAAAAGCTTTGATATGTGCCAAACAACAATAATAATACTAGTAGTTATGTATAACTAGCACTAAAAGGCAAGCCAAACGGTTTACAACTTCAAGTTGTGTGCTTGAAGATTTGAGCAGTGACCAGTACAAATGCAGATGAATAGCCAAAAGACTGACGGCCAATGTAAGTCCTTGTTCAAGTATATAATGGTATAAAACTACAAAATATGAGATCTAATTAATGACTTGACTTATAATGTCCACTATGATGGATATCATAGGTCAGATCAACTTAAAATACATAGCAACCTTGCCATTAAAAAAAAATTATCGGCATCAACAGAGGATGGCAACTGAAAGTGGAACTTTTTTGTGAGAAAAAACACAGAGTGCAATACAATTGCAGTAAACAAAATATAAAATCCAAAAACATCAAATTAAACAAAAAAATTCTGATTGTCAAAAAAATTAATCCAGCAAGTGTGAAAGTTCTTTACAAGCACAGTAGAAAAACATTTATCGAATAAATAAATAAATCCATATGATTATTCTTTTATATGTAACACTATAAATTAAGCCAAAAGTTTATTATGAAAAAAGAAAAAAAAAACCTAAACAAGCACTAAGGCATGTAAAATATTCTATGGTGAGCAAAATATTTTCTTTTTTCAACAGCAATTAAAAGCACCTATAAAAAGCTATTAATATTTGTTACAATCATCTGAGATCATTGAACATTTTTCCTTACAGGGTAAGTTGAGGCTAGCTATGTGCCCTGCCAATTATATGAAGTGTGCATATAAGTACTGTCATGTTATCAAGATAGGTCAGAAACTGTTACAGCTCTCTGAAAACCATATTTTGTAAGGCTAAAGAGTTATGGATAATGATATCAATTCCTAACCACTTCATGAAGTTACTCTGTTTCAGACTTGTCTGAGGTGCGTGACCTGTCCTGAAATAAAGAATACATCTTTAAATATTAGATAAAGGTCCAGTGTGTGTTTGTGTGTGAGAGAGGGACAGAGAGAGAGAGAGAGAGAGATAGAAAGAGACAGATTTGTAAATAACAAAAAATATATGTATGTAAGCTGATCTAAACATATCTGTATGAAGGCTGACCTAAAGTAACATAAACCAGTTCAGAATCCTTACCATCCTGGAGACATAAGGCGGTAGTGTTGACCTTTCCAGACTCTGTACCATCTGCCTGGACTCTGTCAACAGTCTGTGAAGCTTGCTGGTGGGGGATGCATCCTGCTGAAAATGGCAAATTCATTTGCAATGTAAATTATCAGAAATTGTACTTGTCTCATAAACATGGTTATACATTGCATGAATACAGCCATGAAAATCAAAGTTTCTCTCACTCATTTAAATCGATGGCACCACGNAACTCATTTAAATCAATGGCACCACGTTGTATATGATGTACTTGCATATTTCAGACTTCTAAATTACCGTGTAATATTAACTCTTATCCTTCTAACTGCAGAATTAAACCTTATTGTGGACACACAGTCTTGAAACTCACATCTCTGGCAGCTGGTAGTGAGAAATCTTCCCCATTGACTATCCCAGTAATATCACTGTCCAGTGCATTGAGAAGGCTGGAATGTTTGTCCTCTAAGGAAGTGGCTGATCGGTATTTCTGTGGTGATTTGCTGGGGGAGGAATGAATGGAAACCCTGGATGCTGGACGACTAGAAGGACTACTGTAAACAAAATAAACAGGAGGAATGAGAGAATCACAAATTCCAAGGTAAATCACTGGAAACTGCAATCACTTTCTTCTGCAGTTTAAAAGTCCAATGGATGTTTGTATTAGTAGTGTTTTTTTAGGAATATAAATTAATTAGGAATATTAGAATAACAATATCTATTGCAGTTATAATGTAAAAAGATTTGGTATCCATAAAATGCAACAGAAACTAACTAATAAAAATATTTGATAGCCAAACTAGCAATTTTCATTTTCTTACCTTTCTAAGCTGGCTTGCTGCTTTGCAATGAGATCCTTTGAACTTTCCAAATTTAAATGGAGAAGAGACAGATCTCTTTGCTGTCTCTCATATAACTGGAAACACAATAAACATACAATTTAACATGGCAGCAATAAACATGACTGATGACAACTTAACACCATCATCACAAAATGTGGATTTCATATTATCTGGAGCACTACAGGATAGAAATGGTTTCAAACAAGGCAGCAAAGCTGTCAAATGTACAGACAAAAAGCAGGAAATAACTAAATAGGCTGCTGTCAATTCTGATGCAAAAGTACATTATGTTAAACTGCAAATTCAACATCAAATTTTAATTATCCTCAACAGGTAATACCAATGTAAGTAAAATGTGTAACAAGTTCACACTTTGAAAATGTATAAAATCCAGAAAAAGAAGCCAATTAAACTGCTTTTCCAACTCAGGCTGCATTTTAGTCCTGTATTTCTTTNACTCATTTAAATCGATGGCACCACGTTGTATATGATGTACTTGCATATTTCAGACTTCTAAATTACTGTGTAATATTAACTCTTATCCTTCTAACTGCAGAATTAAACCTTATTGTGGACACACAGTCTTGAAACTCACATCTCTGGCAGCTGGTAGTGAGAAATCTTCCCCATTGACTATCCCAGTAATATCACTGTCCAGTGCATTGAGAAGGCTGGAATGTTTGTCCTCTAAGGAAGTGGCTGATCGGTATTTCTGTGGTGATTTGCTGGGGGAGGAATGAATGGAAACCCTGGATGCTGGACGACTAGAAGGACTACTGTAAACAAAATAAACAGGAGGAATGAGAGAATCACAAATTCCAAGGTAAACCACTGGAAACTGCAATCACTTTCTTCTGCAGTTTAAAAGTCAAATTGGATGTTTGGATTAGTAGTGTTTTTTTAGGAATATAAATTAATTAGGAATATTAGAATAATGATATCTATTGAGGTTATAATGTAAAAAGATTTGGTATCCATAAAATGCAACAGAAACTAACTAATAAAAATATTTGATAGCCAAACTAGCAATTTTCATTTCCTTACCTTTCTAAGCTGGCTTGCTGCTTTGCAATGAGATCCTTTGAACTTTCCAAATTTAAATGGAGAAGAGACAGATCTCTTTGCTGTCTCTCATATAACTGGAAACACAATTAACATACAATTTTAAATCTAACATGGCAGCAATAAACAAGACTGATGACAACTTAACACCATCATCACAAAATGTGGATTTCATATTATCTGGAGCACTACAGGATAGAAATGGTTTCAAAAAAGCAAAACACCTTGCATAAAATAACTTTGAACTATTTTGATCATAAGCTCATTACGTTTGTTGCGCCAACTTTAGTGTTAAACTTAGTTCTGAACTTCTTACTTGTCTGAGACTAGTCAATTCTGCATCAGCCCTCTCTTGTTTGCTTCTCTGCAACTCAATCAGCTGGTCCTTCCTCTTTTCACGCTCGCCTTTGTGAATAAAATGAGAAATTGTGAAGCAGAAATTAACTAACTTTTTATTAACAAAATGCAAGAGTTATTTTAATTTGGATCCAAACCTATTTTCTTTAACTGGGTTTCAATGGCCTCACAAACAGTTTCTCACGATGAACCTGTTCTGGCATTAGTAGATTGCCTCAAAACACTTTTTTACCATCACAATACCGTTATTTTTGTATGTATTTTCCATGAAATTACCCTAGAATATTTACTCATTTTTACTTAAGTGCTGTAAGAAATACAAGAGCCTCATTACTAGTTTAACACCAAGGGTAGTCCTAGAAATATATTAAAACACAACACTGATTCACAGTATGACTAATGACTTCAAAGACAAACAAAGAACTTGTAATACAGGTCTTACTTGCTAATGCTGCATCATTCTTAAGGTCTGTGATCTCCTGTCTTGCCTTTTGCAGCTCAATGTATTGCTCCTCATTCTCTGTTTGCTGTTTAGTGAGTTCATCTTATAAATTTGAACATAATAATAATAAGAATAAAAAGAAGTAGTTCTGGTTTAAATGTCTCCAATATATCTTGCATGGAAGGTTTCACGAAATGTGCTCTGAAACTTATCAGTTTTAACAGCGTAACTGTACATTGGCAGCAAAGCAAAACTAAACAAAGGCAGATTATTCTCAATTTCACAGAAATCAAGCTTTACACTGGAATGCAAGTGGCAACAGTGTGTTTCAAAGGGAAAATTTAAACACACTTGACTAAACGTATGTCTAATGATCAAGAGAGTAACTCAAATTGGCCAGCAATTTGCAAGCCATTTCAAGATGTTTTTTTAGTATCATCCTACTTTTTAATTTTTCTCCCTCCTGTTTGGCATCTGCACACTTTTGCTTCCACTCTGCTGCACTTTTCTTGGCATCTGCTGCACTACGCTGACACTCACGAAACTGGAAATCCAACTTCTTTAATTTGGTGCTTAACTCTGATATATGATTTGATGCTTCAACCAAGTCTTTGTCCTGGCAATAAGTAATGAAAATAAAGAGATGTTAAACTAAGAATACAAAAGAGAGTATAACACTTAATATTACATCCATCCACCCCATGCTGGCATGCTAAAAGCCAAATGGAACACAATTTAGTTTTACCTCAATTGTACAAATTATTACACCTTAAAAATAAAAAAGTGAATGATATGTTGGAAATCTCCACATCTTCAAATTCATCTTCATGTTAAAACATACTCTTAAGGTAAAAATGAAGTAAATAAATCAATAATTCACCTTGAGTTTTAGCATGGTCAGCAATTCCTGCTCTCTAGCTTCCAGTTCACCTACTGTTGATGAAAGATCCATCAGAGAACCATTTAAAGTTGAGTTCTTTTCCTGTAAAGGAAAACATAAATTTACTCCTCAAAACTTACTACACAATATGCACAATGCAAGTACCATAAAATTTCATGCAAGGTTGAAAAAAGAATACCTATGTCAGTTAGGCTATAGCTAGCCTATCATTTTTTTTTGCTAAATTTTTATGATAAAAGTCTGACTCTCTGGCTCAAGAAAATAGAAAATACATTTTAAAAGCATTTGCCAATTCATCAATGCTCTGACATGAAATCATTGGATGCACCAAAATTTTTGCTACAGTGAGCCATGAAAAGGTATAATTTTGGTAATGACAGAATGGAATTATTTATAACTAGCCTCCAACTCCTGTAGATGTAGTTGTGTATGACTGTGTTTCTCGCTTATTCTCCTCAGCTGATCTTGGGTGCTTTCTAAGGCACTAGATTTATTAGATCCATCTGATTCCAGCATCTTCAGCTGTGCAGTCAGACCTTTAATTTGCTCTCCACGACTGTGGAGTTCACCTGCAAAGAGAAAAAATTTAATTAAATCTAATATTGTTTCTTATTTAATTCCTGTTTAAGATTTACATCAAATCGGTTAAATTACAAGCAATCTTACCAACATCATTACTGTGAAAGAAAAAAAAGAGCAATCAATCTTAATAATTATCATAAATTACACCACTGCTTTCTCTGATGAAAGCATATTTAGCCCTCTACCCATTAGCATTATCTTAACATGGTTGTAGCCATTTTGCTGGTTTGGAATCTTCTGGTACCTTCCTGTCTGTAACATTTCTGCTCTAAGGTTAGAATTCTCTGTCTGTCCTCCTCCCAAGCAAGCAGCTGTTTCTGGTGTGTGGTAGCCATTTCATTTAGCTCTCTGTCTCGGTCTTTTAATTCTGCTATCAGAAGTTGAAGCTCTCTCCTTTGTTTCTGGATTGTATCGCTCTCATGCTGAGCTGGATACTAAATACAAAGTCAATTGATAAAACAAGTGAATCTTTTAATCAGTAAATCCATATGTCAAAGTGCTAAAAAATGTCATCATTTACACTTGATAAACTATTGGGAATTTAAAATGAAAAGAGATCAGACATACATGTTTTGCAATAAATAAAATACCAAATGCATACTTTATATGAAAACCCAATAACTTTTCCCTAAGACAATACATCACAAACAATAAATGGCTATTATATTTCTACTTCAAATTAATATATATTTATTATTCACAAAATCAAGTATAAACAGACAAAAATAATTAGATATCTTTAATACAAAGCATATTCTCTATTGCAGAGTAGACATGTTGTATGCCAGCATAGGCTAGGTTATATCACAATAGCTTAAAAAGACAACAATTTGATTCAAACAGGTTTTAAACAAAATTTGTTAAGACAAGAACTGTGTAACTACCTGTTTAATGGGAGACCTATTAGAGGCACCATTTCTGGATGGACTGCCAGGGCGTCTGGCCAGGGCTGGACTGAGTGACCTGCGGGCAGAGGGGCTAGAGGACCTCTGATGGGTGGTCGGGGACGAGTGGGACATTTTCAAACTGGTGCTCATCTGTAGCGTAATAAGTTAAAGTGGTTTTGAGAATTGCTCGATAGAAAAAAATGCACTGAGAATATAATTGGATAAAATAAATTGTCAATGTAACAAAATTACATATTTTGCTCTATCTATTCAAAACTTGGATTGAACATTTACATACTTTATTGACATAATAAAAAAGCAATAAGCAAAAGGATTTTAAAGGCTCTGATGAAATGTATTTAATTCATTTAAATCACACACATATATACAGACACACAAGCACACTCACTTTATCTTTAGGTGTACTGTGATGTGGCTGATAGCTGAACATAAAACTTGGATCTGAAAAAAAAAATTAAATTTGCCTTATGAAGCGCAGTAATTAAACTAGTAATTTAAATAAAGTATATACAATGATTAATAAATAATCAATTTGTTGAAATAATTTTTGTTGGTTTTTTAATAACTCATGCTTGACATTTGGTCAGAAATTGACAGAATTCTAATTAACTATCTCACAAGGGCTACTAGTATGTCATATTTGGTCATCTGAACCAATCTTGCCAGTCATTTATATGGAAGAGAGTGATGATATGGCCAATGTGTCATTGAGAACTGTTTTCCTTTTTAAGTATGACAATAAATTACCTAATTCACCAGCATAACGTACAACTTTTCTTCCTGTTACCTGTGGTTCTCTGTCACCGTGTTGAGGAAGAAAGCCTTGATCCATGCACGATCTCTAAGCAAGAGATTTAAGTAATAGCATTAACAACTGATCAATTAATCGACTGAAGTATGTGTTTCACACAAATTGAGAAGTTCTCTAAACACAAGCAGTGAAAAGCCAACAAAACTCAATGTTCATATCTCTTTGTGTTTAGAACCCTTATAATAATCACAAAAGTAAATGGTGAATGTTTAGATCTAAGTAAAACATAGTAATAATTAACTGTTAATGTTTATCGTAAATACAATTAAACTTTTCTTCTTTGGTTTTGCTGTCTAAAATTCAAAACAAAATTAATGTTACATATACAAAACGATTACCATTAAGATGGCTATTTCAAATGACATGCTTAGTTAAGTATGAATGTGAGATTAATCCGCCCAGATTTATTAATAATTGTAAGATAAATAGTTCAATCGATCGTCAAAAGATGACAAAGGCTCAATGCAAGGACTAGTGATAGTGACTAGCAACATAGTACTTCGTCCAGATTCTTTTGACATTGATTATGTTTGAATATCACAGCAGACCGTTTCCTGCTACAAGCGCGATACAAAGTGTGGTGACAGTAGCAAGATCAAATATTGACACAAATAACAAATGTCATGTTCCAACTTCCAGCCATGTTATGTTATGACCGGCGAAGTAAAATAATAATAAAAAATAAATCCTAAAATAAATTTGATTTGAAGAATATATCAAATGGTTGCAGTTCAACTTACCGTAAAAAATTATATTCTCCTACGAAAACACATCACCAAATGCTGTGTTTATGTGGGTGAACCAAATGAATAGCAAGCCGCCGTTTCTTTTCGAAACTACCCACGCTAATAGTCTGCGCATGCTCCAGCTTTTGTAGCGTAAGTAACTTCCGGCGAAGCAAGAGCTCTTACTTGTTGATAAACCCAGGGTAATATTTGTTTTGGGGCCCTATCCAATTAATTTTTCAACATGTTAATGTTCTATTGATAATGATAATGTAAAATAACAAGGGGTTTTGTATCCATCTACAACAATGTAATCTGTCTAAAATGACTGGTTTTATCTTGCAATGTTATCCAAATAGTATCAGTTACATGTGTTTTTCTTTTTCACACGGTATGTATGCATGTTGTGTTTATGGAATTTCATGGACATAGGCTTTTATGACATAACAGATATCTAACTTGTTTTAGAATATGTCACGATGTACAGGATTTGTCACTAGTTGAACAATTTTCGGGGGAAGTCTACAGAACTCCATACATTCATGCATTTCCTGGCAGTTTTCAAAGTGGAGATATCATTGTACCACCAGCGTTAGCGCTGGCGGTACCACTGGTTTCGGTNCTGTTTTGCGGCCCTATCCAATCAATTTTTAAACATGTTAATGTTCTATTGATAATGATAATGTAAAATAACAAGGGGTTTTGTATCCATCTACAACAATGTAATCTGTCTAAAATGACTGGTTTTATCTTGCAATGTTATCCAAATAGTATCAGTTACATGTGTTTTTCTTTTTCACACGGTATGTATGCATGTTGGAATTTCATGGACATATGCTTTTATGACATAAGAGTTATCTAACTTGTTTTAAAATATGTCACGATGTACAGGATTTGTCACTAGTTGAACAATTTTCGGGGGAAGTCTACAGAACTCCATACATTCATGCATTTTCTGGCAGCTTTCAAAATGGAGATATCATTATAAATGAGCTTGTTTGGGCGGATTGGAGACTTAGGCAATTTGAGGAGTTTTATTTTGATGAATTAGCACTGGTACACTTGTTGGTACACTTTTTGTCTTATGCACGGCATTATTTGGAAAGGGGGAATAATAAAAAACTTTTTATGCAATTTGTTAGTACATGACTACTAACTAAGTTTTCGTTTGCTTAATCAAAGTTTTTGACACATAAACGTTAAATTAACGTGCAACAACACAAACAATAAAGAGAACAGAAAATTTATTAATGAAAAATGAATATATATATAACAGTTTGATAACAAATTGACAAAAATGTGGTGATTTGGCTAAGCAAAAAAAATTGCTAGCGCTACCCCAGATATATATACTGTATATATATATATATATATATATATATATATATATATATATATATATATATATATATATATATATATAAAGTATTAGTCCAGGAATTTCAGTGGTGAGGTAACAGGTCACTAGTAATAATTGTTTGACATTTGTTTTCTTGCAGAACATGGCCAGTGAAGCTGTGGATGAGTCTAGATTTCTGGTACATGAAGGACCAAAGCCAGGAGTATCTTATCCACTTCATGTAGATTATTGTCCAGGTATCAGCCAGAAACCTTGTATGGTATATGCCTTTGAAGGCTTTCTTTACATTTGTATGCAGCATAAGATGTGTCATTACTTGTAGGTCGTTTCTCTTTTGTTAGTGAAAGCAAGTGCTTTTGGCATACATAGAACATGTTTATTGATTGTTTAGACTAGAATTTATTGTGCTTTTGCCTGAATGTTACAGACAATATTCAGTGAAACGATTTGTTCCTATTTTGTCTGTGTTTTCATATATCCATTTATCTTTTTTCAGAATGCTCAATGCCATTTGAGGTAAGCATTTGTCATTATCAAAATTCTGCCAAATGGTTATATATCAACATTACAGTTATCTGACAAACAAAGTCTACTAACCTACAAAACCTCATTAGAAGGTCACCCATGCCATTTTTAATGAAAAAAAGGCTACTGATTATTTAAGTGTTCAGTTTATCTAAACGAAATCCTATTAACAAAGTTGTTAGTTAAAGTTTTTTAAATACGAGATATAAGCCTTAAAGGATTTCTAAATGCATCATTTTCTCCTAGTATTGTGAAAACGGTCCTTCATTTGACAAGTGCAAGAAGTGGTTACAGGATAATCTACCAGAGGAGTTTGAAAGGTTGCATGTTGGTAAGTTTGATGAACAAAGATAGTATGTCACTTTTATAAACCAATTAAATTTCAAATTGTGCTAAATTTAAGAGTAAGCATTAAGTAATGTATACATTGTACATTGGTATAATGTTTATTTTCTCATTTGTCAATTACAGGTGAAGGTGATGAAGGCAAAGAAGGAGAAGAAAAGAAAAGACAAAAGCGTGGAGGTAGAGGAGTACCTAAATCAAGAAAAAAGGCAGCTGCACCCCAGAGTGTCTGTTTATCTAGAGCATCCAGAGGGAAGAAAAAATATGTGACTGTGGTGACTGGTCTTGCCACATATGGTAAGCATGTTTTGACAAAGCCGTTTAGTTCTCTGAAGTCAAAGAGAGTAGTTTTTAACTTTCATGTGTTGATGACAAAATGAGGAGCATGCATTTTTATATAGCAGTCACCTGCGTCTGTCGTCACCATTGCCGTATACATACTCTGCACTTTCACGATAACTGGAAAAACATTTTACCTTTTGGCTTGAAACTTACTGATGCTTGAAACTTACTGATTACTGATGCATATTCATAAAACACAGGTCAAGTTTGAAAATCAGCATGTTCGGGCCATCTTTACAAAATTGTTAGTTGATATTATAAAAGAATGGTAAACCTGTTATTGTGTAATAAAGTGTCAAAAATGGAAATAAACTTGTAACATTGCAGTTTGTCAGATTCAATCATTCACTATGTTCAGAATCTCAGAATGGAGCAAATTGGACGTCTAAAAATGTTCTATGGATATTTTATCCATCTCAACAATTTTCTTAGTTGAACATAAAAAAATGAAAGTAAATTGGTTATTTTGTTTTATGTAAAAATGTTGAAAATGGAAATAAACTTATTTCAGTACAGTTATCTCTTGTTTACATTTTGGCATTTTCAATGTGTGACTTAGAAGGTCCATGGGCCTGAAGACCTTTGTTGGTCACATTTTCTAAATATCCATGTTACTTATTTTACTTATATCGGAAATACCTGTTGTGCATAATTAAAATTTGATTTTGACTTTGCAGTTAAGCATAATGTATTATTGCATCAGAATTGACAGTAGCATATTTTGTGCATTATTTTTTTGCTTTTGCCTGTACATTTGACAGCTTTGCTGGCTTGTTCTAGAATTCCCTTCTAATTGTGACTTTTTCATTTCCAAGAGATCGACCTTAAGGATGCCAGCAAATGTTTTGGCAGCAAATTTGCCTGTGGATCATCAGTAACAGGAGATGATGAAATAGTCATCCAAGGAGATGTAAAAGATGAATTGTTCGATTTCATTACAGAAAAGTGGCCCCAGGTATATATTATATATGAGTTTTTTCTCATCTTTACAGTAGATCAATTTTTTTTTTTTTTTTGTCGTCCCATGTAATTTGTATGTACAGTAACGCTTACACTTTGCTTCTTGTCTGACCAGCTTGTTTGAAAACCAAATACACCTTAAACAGAAATATCTCCGCTTATTCTTAAAAAGATGTATTCACTAAATTTTGATATTTACCTTTATGTCATCTAAATGTTCATTTCTTTTATAGATATCTGAAGATAACATAGATGATCTGGGAGATTTGAAGAGATGAAGATATGTTTAAATACAGGACATTGTTTAATGTTAAAAACATGCACCAAGTCAGTTATGAATTGTGTACTACAGCTCTTAATAAAGGCCCATGGCCTTGTATGTCTTTTCATCGTTTGTTTATTCTCTACTCGATGTTAAAGTGCATCTTGTGTAGCTCCAGTTTCTATTGTACATGGAGGTAAATACAGTTTGCATTACCACAATAAGAATGGGAAGAATCTGAATAAAATATATTGGTGCAAATATATTTCTCTAGTTAGAGTAGATGGTTTAACAAAAGACATTCAGTAACTTGCAAATAGTAGATTTATTTCAAACTGAAATGATATGAAAAGACCACTGCTCTATACTGTTGCAGTAAAATAATATTTTAATTTACAAATTTTATGATACATTTCTAATTCATAGTCAACAAAAATGAGTTTCACTGGATAAAATATGTCCTATCATTAACCAGAAGGGTTTGAGACTCCAAACTGAGCACCACTGCATCATTTATGATTAATAAAAGAAAAATGTTTTAAAACTAGAGGATCAGAGAGGCGATACCGCCTCCGAATATTGTACCACCAGCTGGAGCAAGCGCATTCGTATAGACCTCCACATACACAAAATAAGGGACACAGCCACCAGTTTTGTGCTTGACAAGCTGTAAAAATGCAATCAACAAGAATTTTTAAACTTTTGCAAAAAATATATATGGTACAATCAAATTTAAGTTCTTCGTAAGATATAAGATAGGTCAAGGGTCAATTTCAAGTTCACAGTAAATTGCCAGTATACGACTTCCTATTCNGAACTTAACTTTGATTGCACCATTTTTAGTTATATATATTTTTTGCATATTTTGAAAATTCTTGTTGATTGCATTTTTACAGCTTGTCAAGCACAAGACTGGTGGCTGCACCCCTTATTTTGTGTATGTGGGGGTCTATACGAATGCGCTTGCTCCAGCTGGTGGTACAATATTCGGAGGCGGTATCGCCTCTCTGATCCTCTAGTTATAAATGAGCTTGTTTGGGCGGATTGGAGACTTAGGCAATTTGAGGAGTTTTATTTTGATGAATTAGCACTGGTACACTTATTGGTACACTTTTTGTCTTATGCACGGCATTATTTGGAAAGGGGGAATAATAAAAAACTTTTTAGGCAATTTGTTAATACATGACTACTAACTAAGGCTTCATTCACATGGAAAGTCTATTTTCTAAATTCTATTTTCTATTCGCGGTATGTTTTGTGATCACGGTCTGTGCCCTGAATATCCCGCGGCGTGATTACTGGCAGTGCGAGCCAGTTACTTATACAAAGCTGTAATTAATTCTCGGCTGTGCTCGGAGGAGATTCTGATACCTTGATGCATGCGCAGTAGTATCTCTAAGCTGTGGAGTTCATCGGTTTAGGTGTGACGACTCAAACATACAGACGCGAAATATGCACAAAATCGACATACACATTTTTCAAAGCAATTGCAGTCGCCATTAACTTGCTAAATTCCTACTGCGCATGCGTAAAGGTATCAGAATCTCCTCCGAGCACAGTCGAGAGTTAATTACAGCTATGTATAAGTAACTGGCTCGCGCTGCCAGTAACTACGCCGCGGGATATTCAGGGCACAGACCGTGATCACTAAACATACCGCGAATAGAAAATAGAATTTAGAAAATAGGCTTTCCATGTGAATGAAGCCTAAGTTTGCGTTTGCTTAATCAAAGTATTTGACACATAAACGTTAAATTAACGTGCAACAACACAAACAATAAAGAGAACCGAAAATTTATTAATGAAAAATGAACATATATATATATATATATATATAAAACAGTTTGATAACAAATTGACAAAAATGTGGTGATTTGGCTAAGCAAAAAAAAATTGCTAGTGCTACCCCAGATATATATATATATAGTCCAGGAATTTCAGTGGTGAGGTAACAGGTCACTAGTAATAATTGTTTGACATTTGTTTTCTTGCAGAACATGGCCAGTGAAGCTGTGGATGAGTCTAGATTTCTGGTACATGAAGGACCAAAGCCAGGAGTATCTTATCCACTTCATGTAGATTATTGTCCAGGTATCAGCCAGAAACCTTGTATGGCATATGCCTTTGAAGGCTTTCTTTACATTTGTATGCAGCATAAGATGTGTCATTACTTGTAGGTTGTTTCTCTTTTGTTAGTGAAAGCAAGTGCTTTTGGCATACATAGAACATGTTTATTGATTGTTTAGACTAGAATTTATTGTGCTTTTGCCTGAATGTTACAGACAATATTCAGTGAAACGATTTGTACCTATTTTGTCTGTGTTTTCACATATCCATTTATCTTTTTTCAGAATGCTCAATGCCATTTGAGGTAAGCATTTGTCATTATCAAAATTCTGCCAAATGGTTATATATCAACATTACAATTATCTGACAAACAAAGTCTACTAACCTACAAAACCTCATTAGAAGGTCACCCATGCCATTTTTAATGAAAAAAAGGCTACTGATTATTTAAGTGTTCAGTTTATCTAAACAAAATCCTATTAACAAAGTTGTTAGTTAAAGTTTTTTTAAATACGAGATATAAGCATTAAAGGATTTCTAAATGCATCATTTTCTCCTAGTATTGTGAAAACGGTCCTTCATTTGACAAGTGCAAGAAGTGGTTACAGGATAATCTACCAGAGGAGTTTGAAAGGTTGCATGTTGGTAAGTTTGATGAACAAAGATAGTATGTCACTTTTATAAACCAATTAAATTTCAAATTGTGCTAAATTTAGGAGTGTTAAGTAATGTATACATTGTACATTAGTATAATGTTTACTTCCTCATTTGTCAATTACAGGTGAAGGTGATGAAGGCAAAGAAGGAGAAGAAAAGAAAAGACAAAAGCGTGGAGGTAGAGGAGTACCTAAATCAAGAAAAAAGGCAGCTGCACCCCAGAGTGTCTGTTTATCTAGAGCATCCAGAGGGAAGAAAAAATATGTGACTGTGGTGACTGGTCTTGCCACATATGGTAAGCATGTTTTGACAAAGCCTTTTAGTTCTTTGAAGTCAAAGAGAGTAGTTTTTAACTTTCATGTGTTGATGACAAAATGAGGAGCATGCATTTTTATATAGCAGTCATCTGCATCTGTCGTCACCATTGCCGTATACATACTCTGCACTTTCACGATAACTGGAAAAACATTTTACCTTTTGGCTTGAAACTTACGGAACTGATGCATATTTATAAAACACAGGTCAAGTTTGAAAATCAGCATGTTCGGGCCATCTTGACAAAATTGTTAGTTGATATTATAAAAGAATGGTAAACCTGTTATTGTGTAATAAAGTGTCAAAAATGGAAATAAACTTGTATCATTGCAGTTTGTCAGATTCAATCATTCACTATGTTCAGAATCTCAGAATGGAGCAAATTGGACGTCTAAAATTGTTCTATGGATATTTTATCCATCTCAACAATTTTCTTAGTTGAACATAAAAAAATGAAAGTGAATTGGTTATTTTGTTTTATGTGAAAATGTTGAAAATGGAAATAAACTTATTTCAGTACAGTTATCTCTTGTTTACATTTTGGCATTTTCAATGTGTGACTTAGAAGGTCCATGGGCCTGAAGACCTTTGTTGGTAACATTTTCTAAATATCCATGTTACTTATTTTACTTATATCGGAAATTTCTGTGGTGCATAATTAAAATTTGATGTTGACTTTGCAGTTTATCATAATGTATTATTGCATCAGAATTGACAGTAGCATATTTTGTGCATTATTTTTTTGCTTTTGCCTGTACATTTGACAGCTTTGCTGGCTTGTTCTAGAATTCCCTTCTAATTGTGACTTTTTCATTTCCAAGAGATCGACCTTAAGGATGCCAGCAAATGTTTTGGCAGCAAATTTGCCTGTGGATCATCAGTAACAGGAGATGATGAAATAGTCATCCAAGGAGATGTAAAAGATGAATTGTTCGATTTCATTACAGAAAAGTGGCCCCAGGTATATATTATATATGAGTTTTTTCTCATCTTTACAGTAGATCAATTTTTTTGTTGTTCCATGTAATTTGTATGTACAGTAACGCTTACACTTTGCTTCTTATCTGACCAGCTTGTTTGAAATCCAAATACACCTTAAACATAAATATCTCCGCTTATTCTTAAAAAGATGTATTCACTAAATTTTGATATTTACCTTTATGTCATCTAAATGTTCATTTCTTTTATAGATATCTGAAGATAACATAGATGATCTGGGAGATTTGAAGAGATGAAGATGATATGTTTAAATACAGGACATTGTTTAATGTTATAAACATGCACCAAGTCAGTTATGAATTGTGTACTACAGCTCTTAATAAAGGCCCGTGGCCTTGTACGTCTTTTCACCATTTGTTTATTCTTTACTTGATGTTAAAGTGCATCTTGTGTAGTTACAGTTTCTATTGTACATGGAGGTAAATACAGTTTGCATTACCACAATAAGAATGGGAAGAATCTGAATAAAATATATTTGTGCAAATATATTTTTCTAGTTAGAGTAGATGGTTTAACAAAAGACATTCAGTAACTTGCAAATAGTAGATTTATTTCAAATTGAAATGATATGAAAAGACCACTGCTCTACACTGTTGCAGTAAAATAATATTTTAATTTACAAATTTTATGATACATTTCTAATTCATAGTCAACAAAAATGAGTTTCACTGGATAAAATACGTCCTATCATTAACCAGAAGGGTTTGAGACTCCAAACTGAGCACCACTGCATCATTTATGATTAATAAAAGAAAAATGTTTTAAAATGAAATTGCAACATAGAAAAATGTTCCACACATTCAAAGAAAACTAAACAAAAGGGACAATATCAGCATGCTGCCTTTAAGTATATATAAAAGTACATTACAAAATGAATTCTTCTTGGAGCTAAAGCAAGCAAATTAAAGACAAAAAATTACTACAGTGGAAAACCCTGTTGCAATTAAAACAAATATCCTAGATTTGTACCTTGGTACACATATACGTCCATGTTATTTAAATCAATGTTATTGACAAATGAGTAGAAAATTTATAAATAGTTCAGAATCAGATTATGCATTAGCAGGGAATATAACACATATTGCACAATATAAAAGCTAACATGTAAGCCTGCAGTGCTCTGTGCAGTTTAAGTTCCTTTGGCATTGGATATTATTGCACAGCTTCACCAACTATTTTTCAAACCACATAAGATGAACATTTGATTTAACTCGCCCAATAAAGTGTATTTATCAAATGAAAAATTCCTTAGCATGAGTATAATAAGCACCATAGTCTTTAATCTATTTTGCTTGTAGTGCACATAATAAGTTCTAGAAACATACAAAATAGCAAAAGAAGTTCACAGTTTGCTGTTATGTCAAGTCCTTAAAGAGTCAAAGTCACATATAGGCTACAAACCAATCCTGGCTAAGTCCTCATAAGTCCAACCAATAACTAGACATCAAATATAAAACATATACAGACACTAAACATTCAAAGATTAAATGGCAGTTTTCATTCTTAGGTAAGATGAATAGTGAAAAAGTTTTCAAGAATTTCTAAAAAAAAAAAAAAAGAAAAAAAATCAGCAATTTCCCCCCAAAAAGATACAATTTTAAGATGTAACAACCTCTTAAATAGTACAATATATTAGATTAAAGAAAACATTGGACAACAGACTTCAAAACAAATATCCTAGATTTGTACCTTGTTTGTTCCAATAACTTCATCAAAAATAAACAAATCAAGCCAATTTCAAATTCAATCAGCTTTTTCACCTAGCTTAATTACTAGCAAATTAAAACAAAAATAAAGTTAAGTAATTATGGGGCAAATATGCATGTTAAAAAGTGTGCAGAAGTCCAGTGACTTTTACATAAGAATGTCATCATGGGTATCTTCCAACTCTGCCTGCAGTCTTACTAAAAGACAACAGTAAAACAAGAAGTTAAAGGGTGAATGAATGTGTTTGACTGACTATGGCAGTTAAAGCAACAACAAGAGTAATCAGATTACATACAGACACTGTCTGTATACAAAAACTACACAAAATATAAATATCATTTGATCTGAATTTTTTTTTAATTTACACCTCTTAAATATGTACAGCACTGCAAAAAAGGATATAAAATTTACAAGCAATGATTATATTTAAGATTGTATAAACCCTCACTGAAGTACATAACAGTTGCAGCTTGTAATTTGGTCATCCAGTTAAAGCTACTTAAGTTCATGAGTCAAACAGCTTGGATTCATCAATTAGGGACCAAATGATGCAAATAATTCAATATCCACTACAAATGCATGCAAGTAAAGTTTCAGTATAAATAATTCATGTTGACACACGCGCGCGTGCGCACACACACACACACACACACACACACACACACACACACACACACTGTAAATAAAATCTCTGGGAACTGTAAGTGGGTAAGTAGTAGAAGGAGTCTGTGACAAAATTTTATTTTTATTGTATACATAAAAATTTCTATGAATACATTAAAAATGTATTAATAGAAAATTCTATGAATACATAAAAAAAAAATCTATCCAAAATTGATATCTACAGATTTCTAAGCAATGAATAAACATTCCATATCACTTGGTTAATGGATAACCTTAAATGTGTTTTTTCTCCTAGATAAAACAATTTGTATAATAACATAGGATGACCTTGATAACTGGTACAATCTTTCCTTATTTCTTTAGTCAGAGTAGAAGTTGACATTTATATCGTATCGTACATCATATATTGAGTCAAAATAGTATGAAAAGACCACTTATGACCTTTAATACTGCAATCAAAACCTGGAAGCTTGCTAATTATTGTACACATACTTGTTTTTCTTGTAAGCTATTGAAAGGAATAACAAAACAAAACTTTTAAATCAGCATGGATTTGCAGAGTTGGTCAGGTTGCATTATTTTAGATACTATTGGTCTTTTTCTTTTGTAATTAACCTTATCAGATTATATTGGTTCACTTGAAAATGTAAAGCTAGGGTTGTTATTGTTTTGATTATAATTTATGTGGTTTTGATTGGATATTACCTCTTGCTTTTCTGAATAAGTACTTCCATTATCTTTCTTTTTACTTGCTGTTGAATAGTCTGGCAAAACCAATATACTGTTTGATCCATGGGGTCTTTTTATTTTTCTATTTTTATTTGGGTGTGGCTCTTTGAACAGGGGTTTTCTGTAAGATGTATCATCTTCATTATCTGAGCGATCACTCTCTGGCAAATTAGCATATCTCACTCTGTCTGAACTGTGGCTATTTGTATGGCCACCAGAGTTGGCTTCAAAGTTGACATTTTCATAACCTGGAAGACGTTCTTTATGCCTCTCTGGAGAATTTGAACCTGAACCTGAAGCATCATCTGTATCAGCACCATTTTCTTTGTCAGACTCATCGTCCCCTGTTCCTTCCAGATCAGCATAATTTAAATTAGATGAATCATGCATCAACTTTTGACTTTCTCCCTCTATTTCACTTTCTTCTGCATCACTCCCTCCTGAGGCTGCAGACTCCCCAAGTGCCAAAGTGGCATAATTCAGTTTCATGCCAGCGCTTTTGTGATTCCCAAAGTCTACTAAACCATCATCTAAACTATCTTGAGAACTGTGAAGCTGTGAATGGGATGTTTTATGGTTTTTGTCTTCTGTCACATTAGTATCATCACCCAAATTGTCATCTGACAGACCACCAAGCTGTGCATAACTGACAGTTTGTGGGGCCTTATTGGCTTTTGCTGCAGACCTCTGCATATTTGCAGTTGAACTTGGAAGTCCATTGACAACTTGTGAATAATTAACTTTACCAGCTGAGGCACCACCTACGCCTACTTGATGCCCAGGAGAAGAGCCGTCTGGCAGAAGTTCCAGGTATCTGTGAGGTGAATGATGCCTCGCAGTCAAATAGTCATTTGCATTGCTGGGAGTCCTATGCGCAATTCCCTGTAGCCTAGGAGCATGCATATGGTCCATGGAAACAGCTTTCTTCACCTTGCGAGTTTTCTTTTTTCTTGGCAGTTGCGAAATGTCTCCTGAGCTGGAGTCCAATACTTCTGTGCTCTCTGAAGTGCTATCCAGGTCTGCATCCCCTATCAGGGACTGGAGCCTCTTCCTTTTGCTGGTTGGAGTTAGTTTCACAGAGCCACCGACTAAAATTTAAATAACAAAATATATGACAAACATGGTTATAATCTCACAAAACTCCCTCGAAGAACAACTGTCTAGTGAATTATTAAAATGTGAAATAACATGATTGAAGCAGCCCTCACATTTTATATTTAATTTGAAAACACTACGTAATTTAAGACTATCTGCAACTTGAGAAGAGACAAAAATCCTCAAGGACAGATTATGTAAAACCTGTTCTAGATTTCAAACTTTTTCTTTCAAAAGTATTAAAAAACATGAATCCTTTTTCCAGCATTCCAACAGATTTTTATAATTTCCTGGACACACATAGCTGCAATTTAATGTAATGCATCAAAGTGGCAGTTCCTAATGATAAGTGTATCACATACACTTCATTCAGGCTGGTGAGTGCAGGTCACACAGACTGGCAACATGCAGGATATGCCACATCAACTTGTCAACTTAATAGAACTGCTCCCAAATACCAGATCACCATCAGCAATCAGAAGTAACATTTGAATGACATACAAATAGGGATTCCAATGGTTAAGTGCCAAAAGGATATAATGGTTTTCATATCCACCGATCCATTATTAACTTTCATTCATTCCAGTTTAATTTCAACAGATGCCAAGTCATTATTAAACCTACCTCCATGTAAAAAGGGACAAAAACAATAAGAACATCATAGCATGTGCACAGGGAAAACAATAAAACCATGCTATGGTATTTTTATTATCGACACTGTTTTACTCTCCAAGTTTGCAGACATTATCAAACCTGACATAACTGCACTACCAATATCATATACTTATATTGTAGCACTTTAATGCACACTTCAATATGCCAATCCAAAGGGGCGGGGAAAGGCAGCAGTCCTGAACACTTTTCATGACATTAATGATATTTTCTAAGACCTATTACAAAATACTACTGCTGGAATTAAATTCTGTGAAATTTTACATGTAACATTTATTTGCATATAAAATATTTAATTGCTTCTCTGATCAATTTGTTCTGCAAAATGAATATTTACAGTTGGTACTATTAATGGTTGTCACTTACAAAATTTTTAGTTATCTCATGCAAATAACCCCCAAATAATCAATTTTCTGTAACAATCAATTGGTCCCCCTGGCATAATCAAGCAGAGCTGTGCACACACAAGAAGGCAAATAACAAACTCAGAGAACCAGGCCACTCAAAAATGTCTAAACCACAGACCTGGGCCAGAAAACAACCTGGAATGTATAAACCTGCCTCCTTTAAGATACAGGATGCCCTGGGGAGAAATACAGCCAATATATATACATAGTAAGACTAACTCGCCTTTATGGTAATTAATATGTGAATGCCAAATGGTTAATTACAATACCCCATAAGTCTGATTAATGCTTAAATTATTTTTCAGATAAAAATGTGGTATGTTCCTGATAAAATTACAACTAAAATTGTTAGGAAAAATTATAACAGTAAAACTTTCATTGCTTTTCCAACTTCTAATTCACCTAAATACTCATCTTGGGTAATTGTATTCTGCTTCATTTATTAATTTGAAAGTTTAGTTGTCAAACCAGCATTGTTTGATTGTAAATCTTGAGCATTTGACCACAGTTAATGTGTGCATTTAGCATATTAAACAAACATTAATATCTATCAAATACTATCTCTTAATCATGCAAGCATTATGTTTTCCATGCATCTAATGGTCTGTACTGTTACAAAACCAACATTAACATCTCTATACCCATTTTTTTAATGAGAAGTGGATGTTACACTTCACTTGCTGTTAATAGTATGCAGTGGGTTCCAATGTAAGTATTAACAAGGCAGCAAAGCTGTCAAATGTACAGACAAAAAGCAGGAAATAACTATGCACAAAATAGGCTACTGTCAATTCTGATGCAAAAGTACATTATGTTAAACTGCAAATTCAACATCAAATTTTAATTATGCTCAACAGGTAATACCAATGTAAGTAAAATGTGTAACAAGCATAAGGCTTCAGGCCCATGGCAGTTCAAGTTCACACTTTGAAAATGTATAACTTCCAGAAAAAGAAGCCAATTAGACTGCTTTTCCAACTCAGGCTGCATTTTAGTCCTGTATTTCTTTT